TCGGAACAGCTAAACTTCCACAGTTAACATATTAACCTGCAAACCTTTGCGAACTGGTATGTGGATAATGTCAAAATATGCCCACATTTTGGCATTTCACGCCACGTCCCACTGCACCTGTCAGGCACACTGGCAACATGCAATGGTTAACATGGTCCCTCGATTGCTGTCTCATTGCTAGGCTAATGACAACTCATCGATACTAAAAAGCACAATCAGCATCTAGTAAGAAACCACTCAGCATTGGGGGTTTTGACTACTGTTAGTCCTTTCAGGCAAACAAAAACATTCATCAAACAGTACTTTCTGCCGCTGGTTACTTCCTTGTGAGCTGTGCAACACAGCTACCCCTGGTGGCAAAATAATACAATGTATGGTATTGACTTGAAAAACAAGAGTTTACTGTTGCACAGAGGTCTAGATGTTCCTGCTCCTTCCCACAGCAATTTTTCAAAATACGGGAAAATCAGAGGAGATAATCACATGTACTGAATGGAGCCTGTCCAATTCCCCGTTTTAAATGGATTGAAAGTCAAATTAGCTCCCTATGAGTTCCCTTAAGGGTGTGCATTCTTCCTGGCCCAACATTCATAGAGTCATAGAAACACACAGCACGGAAACAGACCCTTCGATCTAACTTGTCCGTGCCAACCAGATATCCTAACCTGACCCAGTCTCATTTGCCCGCATTTGGCCCATATCCCTCTAAACCCTCCCTATTCATATACCCATCCAGATGCCTTTTAAATGTACCAGGCTCCATCACTTCCTCTGGCAGCTCACCTCAGATTCCTTTTAAATCTTTCCCCTCTCACCTTAAACCTATGCCCCTCTAGTTTTGGACTCCCCTACCCTGAGAAAAATGACCTTGGCTATTCACCCTATCCATGCCCCTCATGATTTTATAAACGTCGAGAAACCTGTGCCCAAATAGTTTTTTGGTAGTACAGAGCCTGAGTATTGCTGAAAAAGGATAAATTCTGTCAAAGCTCTTCACCTTGCACTGATCAGGATATTTCACAAGAATACCTTGTACCTCAAACGTTTGACCAATAGGTAAAGTTGTTGTTTCGCACTGCCACTATGCTGTAGCAATATGAGTAGAATAGCCATTAACAGACTGGCTACCTTCAACCAAAAGCACATCCTGCCTGTCACACAAATGAGTAATGTGATATATGAATTTCAGTACCGATGTGATGCCAGATAGACAGACTGTTATGTCCCAAAGACTTGTGGATGACATTAAATGATATATCCCTTTGGCTGTTTGCAAACTGACCGTACCCAACAAACCAGCACTCCCAAAACTCTCAACACTGTGTCCAACATTACATGTGATTCAGCAAGTGGGCAACATTTGCTGGATAACCTTGAATGTGCAAGGAATTACGCTGAGAACCATTTTAGGATTGACTTCATTGCTCAGACCTTTGAGTATAGGAGTTGGGGACTCATGTTGAGGTTGTACAGCACATTGGTGAGGCCTCTTCTGGAGCATTGCGTGCAGTTCTGGTCGCTGTTATATGAAAGATATTATTAAACTGGAGAGGGTTCAGAAAAGATTTATCAGGATGTTGCCGGGAATGGAGGCTTTGAAATATAAAAATAGACTGGAAAGGCTGGGACTTTTTTCACTGGATTGTAGGAGCTTGAAGTTTATAAAATCATGAGGGGCATAGATAAGGTGAATGACAAGGGTCTTTTCCCTAGGGAGGGCAATTCACAACTAGAGGGCATATTTTTTAAGGTGACAGGAGAAAGATTTAAAAAGGACATGAGGGGTAACATTTTTACACAGAGAGTGGTTGCTGTGTGGAATGAACTGCCAGAGGAAGTGGTGGATGTGGGTACAGTTACAGCGTTTAAAATAGGTTCATGAATAGGAAAAGCTTGGAGGGATATGGGCTAAGTGCAGGAGGGTGGGAGTAGTTTAGTTTGGGAGCATGGTCAGCATGGACTGGTTGGACCGAAGGGTCTGTTTCCATTGTCTATGACTCCATTACTATGACAGCCCACAGTGTGGCATACTTGCAAGTATTGGAATGCAATAATAAACAGGTCCCTGTTCTTTGCAGAAAGAACATGTACATGCACCGAGTTAGTTTCAATAAAGCTTGGCACTTAACAGTCAATCATCACTAACTGCTGTTTTCTCCATGGCAATGCCTTACCAATCAGAATTCTCTTGCCAAACAATCAGTACTTTCTTCTCATGCAGCATAAATGCTGCTTTATCTCCTTGACTTGGTATTCTTGCAAAATGTCCTGATGAATACAAGACAGAAAGCTTCAACAAAGCGTTTTATTTTAGCGGTGCTTAAAGTTCCTGTATCAATTTGAACTGGGAGATCTATCCCATGGGCACTAAAGCCACTGGTTTAAAACACAGTAGCGTCCTTAAGCTACTATAGTTAAAACTTTAAAACTACCTGTTCAATCCATAAAGTGAGATTCTCATCACAAAGTGAAGTGCTAATGCAGAGAGCAAGTGTAGACACAATGGGATGAATCATTTCCTTCAGCCATGTTACAATTCTGTGATTTAGTTCTTTTCAAGTTGTTCCAGACCAGTCCGAACTAAAATGCTAAACTAAGAATGACTTTTGTTAAATATTATATTCCATCCAAGTTAGGTCTACTGCCATTTTCCATTCACTGACTTGAATTAAACTGGGTGTTCCCATCCCAATCTTAAATGCTTAAATTTGAGAGTTCGCAGAACTCATTCAGTTACTGCAGCTTTTCAGTCATTTTCTTTTTAAAAAAGTTTGCAGTTTAATAGGTTTTTCTTCATTTAGGCTTCAATCATTATTTGTGTTAATTGGCACTTTGATTTTTTTTTTCATCATTTCTGTTGGGGCAGTTCCTTTCCTTTTTTTGCTTTGGCCAGCAATTTTCCCAGGGCAAAATATTTGGCAAGCACTCAGTGAAAGCTTCCATCAGCACAAGTGGACAAAATTGCCACGGACTCACTGCCAAAATTATGATGGCAGAGCAGGAAGAGCAATTCCTAGCGAATTTATTTCAGTGAGGGTGTCCCTCATGAGCTGCGTCTGCAGGTGTCTGGCAACTGATAAGGCCACATCTGGAATACTGTGCATAGTTTTTGGTCTCCTTATTTAAATGATGTCAGTTCATTGGAGGCAGTTCAGAGAAGGAATACCAGACTAATACCTGGAATGGTTGGGTTGTCTTATGAGGAAAGGCCAGACAGGCTAGGCTTGTATTCTTTGGAGTTTAGAAGATTAAGGGGCAACTTGATTGAAACATATAAGGCTCTGACGGGACTTGATCAGGTGGATGTGGAAAGGATGTTTCCTCTTCTGGGAAAATGTAGAACGCTGGCTCATAGATTAAAATCAGGGGTTGCCCATTTTCAGCAGAGATGAGGTGAAATCTTTCCTCACAGGGGTTGCGAATATTTGGAATACTTTTCCTGAAAAGGTGGCAGAAGCAGAGTTCTCCATCTCAACTGAAAGACTAAAATTGAAAGTCTTTAACCTACCTGCTTTTTGATTGGGCATTTTGATTCTGCGAACTACTCTTCGTGTGTGCTTTTATAACACTGACAGTGTTTGGCAGTGTACCTTTTGCTTTTAAGAGAAAGATGTGACGTAGATTGTACATTTGTATTATATGCATAGTATCTGACTCACTGTAATGTGATTCTTTTGTCATTTTTCTCCTATGAGAGTGTGAAGCAGTAGATTTGTAGAATTCTGCCAATTCCTACGCAGGCCCCTTGAAATACTGTGAGAACAGGGACAGCACGGATTAGATACAGAGTAAATCTCCCTGGACACTGTCCTCCTCAAACACTCCCAAGACAAGTACAGCACAGGGTGAGACAGAGAGAAGCTCCCTCTACTCTTTTAAACTGAAATAAAGCTCCATGTATTCTTTTAAAAATGAAAGTAAAATAGATAAGCTCCTCAACACTGTACCCATCAAAAAACCCAGGACTGGTACAGTGCAGGGTTAAATATAGAGTGAAGCTCCCTTGACACCGTCCCCATCAAACACTCCCAGGCCAAGTACAGCACAGGCTTAGATACCGAATAAAGCTTCCTCTACTCTTAACCTGAAAATAAACTGTAAGGTAAAGCAGTTTTTACACTGTCCCTGCAAAACACTCAGAGGACAGGTACAGCAAAGGGTTAGATACAAAGTAAAGATCCGTCTACACAGTTCCCATAAATCACTCCAAGGACAGAGACAGTGCAGTGATAGA